AAAAAAAACAAAGAGATGAGAATACAACGTCCCTCGCTTTTTGAAAATGGTTAACAGGATTATAGCCTAGGACATTATCTTAGAGATCATGTGATACTATTACTCAACAAATGAAGGTTTCTTTTATGTCATGCCCTTAGTATACACTCTTCCAACTATTGCCTGAATATTTCCAGTAACAGGAAATTTACTATGTAAAAATTTAGCCCACCCATTCCATGACACCACAATTCTAATTAACATAAAGCTCTTCTTAATTCTGAACTAAATACGCCTCCTAGTCAGACATGTACCTGAGGAAAATCAGAGTTTTCCAACCAGGGGTCCTCGAAGTGGGAAGATGTGCCAATAAAGCACATGTCTAGTTTATTTACCCTGGCTAAAATTATATCCTGTCAGCATGAGATAAAGCACTCTAAGTTATTTACATGGATGTTTTGCTATAATGATGTCTCAGAACCTAATATAGTACCTGATACATATTAGGTAGTCAATAAATGTTTATTGATTCAAAGAATGAGGCACAAGTCAGATTCACACAATGAGTTCCCCCCTCCACCAACTATATACACACAAAAACAAATGACTTAGAACTCTATGATAATTCTATTAAAATTTTCCATGCACAAAAAGTAACAGAATGTCGCCCACTCTGAAAAGAAATACCTGCATGCCTACACAAAGTAGATGCCTCTTCTGTATAGGCATATTCTTCATTCATTCAACATACATTCAGTGCCTACTCCGTGCCAGGGTTAGTGAGCTCAGGAAATACAGGCACAAACAATACATGTCCTCAGAAGGGCAAAGTTTACACACTAATTAGGGGGAATTACACTATATTTTAAATAGTTGTAATATATTTATATGAATAAATTATATAATATATCAAAAATAATTTTAATCACATCACATATGAAAAAGAAGTTAATGGCTACAGAAGGAATTCATATAAATTGGTAAGAGTTTATATGAATAAATTCCCATAGATAAATGGAGAAAAGATACAAGCATATATGATTTTCCATATATGGAAACTGGAATACAACTGGTAAACAGAAAAATGTTTAACCTTGACAGATAAAGAAATACAAAGCAAAACAAGATAACATTTTCTACCCTGTTAAAATTTTTTTTAAAACACCCAATTTAGAGGAAGTTAATGAAAAACTAGTTATATATACATTGCTGATGGCAATATAAACTAAAACCACCTTTTGGAGAGAGAAACTGCCCATACTCATTGACCCAGGGTATACCCTCCTAGGAATTCATCTTTAATAAAGTAAAAATTTATTAAACTATCAAGAAATAGTAACTACACTAAAGCCTACGACAAAAAAAATTTTTTTTTGCAAATAATTTTAGTATCAAAGTCTAAGTAAATAGAATAACATGTAGCCATCAAAAAATATAATTATGCAATCTATCTAAAATGAATAATGTCTGCTCCAATAAGTGAAAAGGCACCAGAAAATAAAATTCTGTGGATATTTGTTAAGGTATCTACGGAAAAAATTAGTATGCACACACTGGAGTCCTACATAAGGACTGGAAAAAAACCAGCAGATGTTTTCACGTTTGAGGTCATGGGTGACTTTTATTTCCTTTATTACTAAATTATTTGTATAATTAACAAAAATCAGGAGAAAAAACTCTCAAAGAGGGTCCAAAGTAATGAATCATGTGGTCAATGATAAACAAAGGCCTCAAATAATTGTTCCTTGGATTCTGTGTTCATAAAAAGAAAAAAAAAAGAAAGGAAGAAACATTTCTTACCCCAAATAAAAGTGGCACAATGTGGCTACAAAAAGAAACCTGCAGTTAACTCTGAGATGAATATCTGGAAACATTCCCAACAGTAAAAATCATCAGACTGTAGCATGGTATCCTAGGCTAAGTTCCACTGCTGGGGTATTTAGAAGCAACGCCCTAGACACCATACTGTAGGAATCAGTCCTGAGCTGGCACCACAGAGACCCAGAAGTGGTCTCATGAGGTTTTTCCATCACACAATTTGTTTGGCTAATCTATAAATATATGACATTTGAAAATAAACACTAAGGTTTTCATACCAAGCAAAGGAACAACAAACCTTACCTGGAAAGTACCAGACAGAGCCCTGCCCCACTGTGCCTGTGTAGAGGACACAGGTACCAATAGGCTGCATACTGGAACCCACTGGGAAATCCGGTTTCTCTAGAGAAAGAAAAAAAGGCTGTCAAGAATCTATATCCAACTCCATGAGTAGAAGTTTAGAAATTCTGCCAGAACAGGGTACATGAAAAGAGAACTTCCAAAACAGGGCCAGGAACAAGCTTCCTCCTGCTCATCTCTCCAAGGATAAAATGTACCCCTACCTATTCCTGATTCATGGACTAAAACAACTCTAGTAAAGGCTGACTCAAGCAGGGGGACATGGGCTCCCTCTCAGAAGAGTAACAAAATAAGTAGACTTCAGGCATTTTACAATTAGATTATCATTTAAATTGAGAGTCTGCAATGCCTTTTCATAAACTGATTTATCTGATCTTCATAGAATCCCTTTATAGTAAGCAGTGTCATCCCCAAAAGGATGAAGAAACTAGGGCTGACATTTTTAGGGTAGGAAAACACTAAGCCAAATTGATTTCCAAAACAAAAGAGAGAGATTAAATGGCTGTTAGAGTTAATGACTGAAGTTCAGTTTCCCCCTAGGGTATTAACCAACCTCAAAAAGGTCTCTGGGCCAAAGTGAAAGGCTGGGCTGGGGAAAGGAAGAGCTATCTTGCTACCTGAGAAGCCTACTCTATTTTATGAACCTGAAATACATCACACTGTATAAATGGCATTCGTGTACACAGGACTGGAGATGTCTATTCTAGGAACCAACTCTGAGGGATCCAAGGGTCTCTTTCATTTGACCTATATAAAACTTATAGGGCCACAATGAGGGCTGAATATAAAATTATTTAAAAACACTTTGCCAGGGGCGCCTGGGTGGCGCAGTCGGTTAAGCGTCCGACTTCAGCCAGGGCACGATCTCGCGGTCCGTGAGTTCGAGCCCCGCATCAGGCTCTGGGCTGATGGCTCAGAGCCTGGAGCCTGTTTCCGATTCTGTGTCTCCCTCTCTCTCTGCTCCTCCCCCGTTCATGCTCTGTCTCTCTCTGTCCCAAAAATAAATAAACGTTGAAAAAAAAAAATTTTTTTTTAAAAAATAAAAACACTTTGCCAAACATAAACTACAATACTAGGAGTCAAAGATCTGGATTCCAGTTTTAACTCAGCTATTCTAATATGATCTTTACAAGTAATTTAACTTCTACAATGCACAGGTTCCTTATAGCAATTATTAGTAATACTTATGAGCATTTGTTCTGTGACAGGTACTTTCCTAGGTACTTTACATATATAAACTCACTTAAAACTCACAATCATCACCGAATGACCTAGGAATATTGCCATTATCCCACTTATATGGATAAAGAAACTGAGGTATACATAGGATAAGGAATTTCCCAAGGCCACAAAGTTAATACAATGGCAGGGTTAAGATCTGAACCCAGACAGCCCAACTTCAGGATCCATGCTCATTTATGGGGTGAAAGGGTAAAAGGAATATCTCCAAAGTATCTTCTAACACTCTATGAACTAGTCTTGAAACAACTAAAACACAGTATAGTATTGTGGCAAGAGCCACGTACTTGGAATCAGAAAACACTGATTTGACTCTTGGCTCCACTGAAAGCTACAAGCCTTTGTTGTCTCTTCTATAAAATAAAGGAAAAAAATCCCTACTTCTCAGGACTTAAGAAAAATCAACAAACGTACCTTGTAACATGTCCAACTCAATAAATATTAAGTTGAATCTGAATCTCCATTTCCTCATGAGTAGGCAACAAGTGATAGGGATAATGTACATGGAGAAAGGTGCAGGAATTTTAAACGTAGAGAGGCCTTCTAAAGTGTCTCACAGTTTTAAAATTGTGTAACTGTTTTTAATAGGCTACTCACAACACCTTATGTTTCAAATGAAAAGGAAAGTTTCAAAATATTTTATTTCAGCTGAGGTTCGATGTGTTGGGATAATGTTCAAATAAGAGACCATTACAGGCTTTTTGTTTACTAATGCTGAATCATTTGCCAGAATCATTCACTGTTAGATGTTCCTTTCCTAAAAATGTAAATATGGGATAAGATGAAACTTCTGCAGATTCAAGCCAAGGGAGGCAGGGGGAAGTAAGAGGAAATTACAAGTAGGAACAATGCAAACTTTTGGAAGATCTTCTGAAGAATTTCATCATATTTTTCCCCACGTCAACAAAATTTTTCTCTGTAATTTTGGCTCTACTTGGTTTTATGCCAATACATTAAATCAGTTCTTATTAGAAGAAAGAAGCAATCAGCTCTGTTCTTTCCTTCTCCAATCCTACAACAACAACTCTTGTTCAAACCCTTAATTGAAACTGAGCAGAAAGGGTATGTAGCAGAAAGGGTATTTGAATCCCAAGATTCTTATTGAATAGCTGTGTGACCCTGAACTAGCTACTCAACATTCTGGACCTCCATTTTCCCTTATGTAAAGTGGGAATAATAAAAGCTACCTCACAGGAGTGTTCCAAGGATCATATGTAAAAGCACCTTGAGAATACTAAAATACACACAAAAGCATCATTACTGTTATTAACAACTGTTACTGAATTATGTAAATAAGCTTCTCTTTCACCAGCAAACTGTCATAGAAAAAAGAACTATTTTCTTAAAATATTGTTTTTAACCTGGAATTCCCTTTCTCAAAAGCTTGCAGTGTCTCCAAGTGCCTCTTTAATCAAACGTCAACACCTGATCTTGACCAACTAGACCCCTCTAGACTCATCTTTATATTTACATACCCTGCCTTGTATTCTCCATTCAGCAGTTCCAAAACCTGACTCAGATTCTCTGGTTTGGGAATTACTACTCCTCTCCACACAAGCTAATTCCCTTCTAGTCAGTTCCTCTGGGACTCTCTTCTTCCCTCCTCCCCAACCCATGAGTTCATTAGCTTCAAAAAGTCTCCTCAGGGGCACCTGGGTGGCTCAGAACGTTAAGCGACCAACTCTTGGTTTCAGCTCAGGTCATGATCTCAGTTTGTGAGT